CCCTTTTACTTGCTCATGATTAATACATGGTGGATGTCTCAATTAGTGACAAAGCAACTTCATCGTGAAAACCAATTAATATATTATATTATAATGTTATGCGCGTTAAAAGTATATAATAATAATAATTTTGCCCGAAGGCTGGAACATTTGGTATTTATAATTGTATGAAATTTCTTCAAATTTGTAATATTAGATTGTTACAAAAGTCCTGTCAGTTTTTTCATCACGAGTCTGAGAACAAAGACTATCAAAGAGTAGCAGAAAGTCAACTGCAAAGAAACACATACGAGAAACTGACAAAGCTTTTTTAACAGCCTGATAAAATTTTCATGAATTTAGAGTATATGTTCTCAAAAGCGACGGAGATACTGTTTAGTGACATGTAACTTTAATTTTGTTCCAATTTGTGTGACGTATGTGTGTTTATGTTACTAACAGATGACGAACGTACGGACAGTTTTATTACTGGCAGGCAAAAATCATTATTCGAATGTCACATATTGGTAAATCATATCGGATTGGATTGGAAATCATTTATTAAGAAGGACAGATGCGATTTTCACTAATTGGGACATTTTACCTTTACCTTATATTTCGTGATGCATTGTGAACACTTCCGGAAACAAATCTTTCATCGATAATCAATTACGAAGTTAATTGTCGGTAATTATTCACACGAATTGCCTCTAATTATTTCATATATTATTTAACAAGTTGTCGATAATTATTTATAAGACACACCTTACCGGTTACTTTAATTCTGATGAATGTTGTACACTCAGAATGGAATCCAGAGATGTTTGTATCTTGAATGAACGCGAAGTCGCATGTAGTTCCTGAGATGTACAATCATCATTTCGAAGTTTCGCAATTTTACATTGCATTTGGGAGTGAGCTATTCTTCGCCATTGTCACTCCAAACATATCGCCTGTTATTTTCCTTTGTGTATATTTCTCATTTACGTGTGCCAGTCTCTTGCAACACGTTACATGACTGACGTTTAATTCAGGAACAACGTCTGTCGAAAATGTTTGTCGGATATTTCGTCTTACTAAATCGATGAGTCTATCATGTACTAAAGCAACAAGTTCTGAGAAAATATTAGCCAAGGCCTCTATATCCAAGGTTTGGGCGATTTTATTCAAATATGATAAACGACACACAACTCTGCATAATTAAGTATAAAATTATAATACTTTAAAATAATGCATATGTCTCATTCGTCATATATTTGTGATTTAGGTCAATATGAACAAAAAAGATACACTTTCTTCCCCCTTAAATGATCTACTTTAAAGATAATGATTGCGACAAATTTTGCTTTTTGCACATTCAAAACTACAATATCTGTATACTATGTGTACATCTATAGATCTTTAAGTAAGATTATCACTGTGTCGGAATAAACAGTAAAAATAAATACGCCAGCGAAGGTTAAGTGTCATACAACGCGAATACCCGGTCAATTAGAGCCGAGCACAAGATATTCGTGTATTAAATTTTTACTGTGAGAAATTAAGAATGTTTGACAGTGTAAAAATGTATGCGCCGAGTTCACCTCGGTTTAACGTACACAGCGGATCTACAATACCTTTTACATCGCGGGTGAAAGAATACGTTATTCACCATTATATTACTCTTCTTCCTTTGCTTTCATTATTGCTGAGTTCGGGGAAACGTCTGATTTAAGTTTTGACATATACTTTCCTCTGTAAAAAGATTTTATTTCACTATTGATACGTGAGAGAGCCGAAACATCTGGATATTTTTTCTGTAATTTTATCCCGATTATATTGAATATTGAAAGGAAACAACAGTTTTATTTGCTTCATTATAGCACCGTGAAGCCGGTGCGCAGGTTCTTATTGGTTCTTTACCATATTATTTGTGTTTCGACGGAGCTTAATTTATCGAATTTTATCGCCTATCTTTCGCCTGGCGAATTTTCACAAATCCTTTACAAATCCTCCTAATGCCTCCCAAGTATCTAATCACAGAACACCTGGTTTCGATCAGAGCCGGCTTCCGACCCCTGAAAACTCTCAACGACGGCGTCCCCGTGTCGCGAATGACTTGAAGCGACGGGTTAAAATCAACGAGCGAAACCGCGATGTTCATTCGCGAATAAACATATGAGTAAATTTGTGTTGCTTAACGAGAACAGCTCGCTCGGGAATTTCCTTCGTCTACCGAGTTCGTCTACCTCGGAAGACGATCCCTCCACGCCGATGGTAGGATCGACGCGGAGAATGTTAAAGAGACGTACGAATGTCTGAGAATGTACTCCTCCTGCAAACTCAACATTTACGACTTCATAACTTCTCCCGGGCACCGTGAAGTTTTTGCCGAGGAGTGCGTTGCACGTGTATAGAATTTTCTGAAGGGCGCTCGTCCATAAAGAGGAGCAACCCTATCTTCGCGCGATTCGAATATTTCCGCCACGTCGGCGGGCGCACGTTTCGGGTTGCTGGCTTTTCGGGTGTATCGATTTGCGCGGAAACGAGCGTGCTCGAGGAAGGATCCACGGCGGGCCCAGGACGCGGAATTCGCGTGTATGACGCGCGTGAACAATTCGCCGGCGGCGGCAGGGCGAGTGTCGCTTTTTAAATCTCTAATGCAGAGCGACCGGAGTTTTCGCGACTTCGACGCTGCTGTAAAATTCTCGGCTTTGCCGGCCCGTCGGAATCCCCGGGCTCTTCTTACCCTGTTCGTGATGGTTGTAAAATTTAGTGCATTTTCGGAAACTTCGGCTATAAACTTGGGAATTTGACAGGGACGTCCCGAACTCCGGAAGGAATTTCTTTGCGGCATTTCACTCGCCGAGCTATCGTCCGACGGGCTTTTCTGCGCGCGCGAATTCTCGCAGTCTTCCCGCGCCTGCTCCCGGCAAGGTGGCGGTTAGAAAAATTCAAGACTCGCCCGGCCGAAATTTCTTTCTTCCTTTCTTTCTTTTTGTCGAACTTTAAACGATTTAACAGTCGTCCGGCTCGATGAATCGCGCGCACCGTCCGAGAGCTACTCGGACAACGTTCCGCGATGTAATTTTTTCAACGGGATTTTCCCCAGCCGGCAGCACGCGAAATAACTCTAACGCGGAGCCAGCTCTCAGGAGCAGATACCGGGGCCAAGGCGGAGAAATACGGCAGTAACTCTTATCCTTCGTCCATTCGAGATTTACGATCGCACGGCGATTACGAGCGAGTATATAAATACGTTCGGCCGCGATAATTCGATAATATCGCATTCGTCGTTTCTCTTTTCATGGCTTCTCCGTTTCCTCCCGCTCGCTGCGCGGAATGTTCTCGGGGAAGACGTTAAACTGGGAATATAAACGGTACACGGAGAGTACTTCACAGCGAGAGGTATTAATATAGAAATTATTGATATAGACGACCTTGTTATAAATTATCAACTTAGAATGTTACAACCGAGGTACATATTGACATTGCCTCTACCTCCGTTTATTATCCTTCCCTTTTATACATGCTGTTTATATTTTAGTGAGCTAAAGTCTACTATTAAAAAGTGCATTACATCCCTTAGCAAGATGAATTCTGCTGACAGTCTATCACTGTTAGGAAGCACGGTAAAATTTAAATAAATTTATATGAAAAAGCCACACACACACACACATACAATATTCCCTCGGTGTGTGAATTCGAGCCACGTCATTTCAAGCCACATAGTTTTTCTCGAAATACATTTTGTAGGGGCGCTTGTACGCATACTTGTACGGCTACTTGTATGGAAATAAAAATGATAATGTGTCCTGCGAAATGCAAGGATTAATCAACACTGAAAAAAAGTATGTTCAGCATTTGACTATAACCGCACGGTGAGATCATTACAGTAAAAAAACATATTTTTGAGGTGAGCATTACTATAATGTAATAATTAATAATAATTTCATGTGTGTACGTTGCTGTTGCTATTTTTTCGTTAAAACAACGAAAACATGGTCGGTGCTGAAAATAATTCGAATTTGCAGCGAATTGAGCGATCTTTTCTCTCAGTGAAATACAGGGGAAATAAGTTTAGTTTACCTGACGATGAACAAACTAAAACGTTTGCGTTTAATTTGTTCATTGACAAGTAAATTCAATCAAACTTTTCCTCGTGTAGCGCGCATAATTTCATTAGAAACGAACAAGCAAGGTTGATACATTATCAACATCATTTTACTGTCTAATCAAAGAAAGAAACTTTTTTGGATTTAATAATATTTCTTTGATTAAAACAGAATTGTTTGGTTTCTCAAACAATAAATATCTTTATGTCAAATAATATATTTCTTTTTATTGTCTTTTCATATCTATATTTTTATTTCTTTTTAAATATCTATTTTCGTCCAAACATTATATAAGTTATTTGAAATAAGTAACACTGTGTTAATAAAATATTAAAGAACTTCTTTTTGTTTTAGTGGAACAATATTTAATATATAATAAAATAAATTTTTTCTTGAGAACGAAATATTATTCCCTCTAAATAATACTGTGTTTTTGTTTACATTAAACAACATGGCTTATTCTAGTGAAACATTTTCATTCCAACAAAATAATATATGACATTAAATTATGTTGTTTATATCATACTAAATCCAAAGAAAGCTTATTCTCTATGTGTAATTATTTCGAAGCTAATACTATCCATACAACACTCGCATCTCAGTGAATATCTCAGTAAGACAGACGCAATTATTACCCGGAACAATGATTACACGGGACAAATATTGCCCGGGATATCGTTTCATTCGAGAATGATGATTTAATCGAATTCCTCCTCCATCACGCACGATGCACGCGCGATCTTCGATTTTCCGTCGTTCGCATTTCCTTCCGACATTTTGCCTCGTTGGAATTTCCCATTGCGCCTGTGTGTACGTCAGACCGTGTTCTACATTCGGCAGCCACCCAAGGGCGCTCTCAAACAGCGGCGCAATTAGGGTGTTTGCTTTGCGAGAGTAACATGGCAAACTGCGACGATTTTTCCGGTATCACGCTAGAACTCCGATCAAATCGAAGAGTCCCAGTGGGCATCGCGGTTGGTACTTGGAGCAGCTTCCGTTACGACCGACCAGTTCAGCCTCGGAAACGTCTCGCGGCAATTCCTCGCGTCTCGAGCTGCTCGGACTGAAAATCAGAAAATAATTTCGCGATATAATTGAATTGCGCTCGCACGACGATCGGGGGATGTCGCGTTTCCGGCGGAGAAATCGCCGAAGGCGGTCGGGGAACGGTATCTCGTTGAAAAAAAAAAAAAAGTCGAAAAGTCGTCATTCCGAGGAGAACGATTTTGCCAGCGGCAGAGCCGAATTTTTTATACAATGTATATGTGCATATATCGGCTTTTGTTACATCGTTTCGCAGCGATACGGCGATACGATCGGTTTATTGGACTTTTATTTCTCACGTCTCTTCTCTCTCGCTCCCTCTTCCTCCCTCTTTCTTGTCACCTCTTTCGTCGATCCGTCTTTCTTCCGCAATCCTCTCCTTTGTTTTTCGCGGGGAAGGTATGCGAGTACTTTCGAGGAGAGGGACGATAAATCCTGAATATCTCGTGGAAGACGAACCGAGCGCGAAAAATATTCTTCTTTTATTCTCCTACCACGGTGATATTTGCCGAGTTTTTAGAGGTTTGCAGGATGGAAACGAGGATGCACTCCGGTGCCCGAGTCGAAATCTTGGTCCTGTGTTAAACCTTTATTTCTTCCAAATCACATTTAGGATTTTAATGAAAATCTACTGTAATATTATAGAGCTAATATAGAGACATTATGCAAAAATTTGAGAATCCATGACCATTCTGTTTTTAAAATAAGTATTTTAGTAAAGAAAGTATTTTTTTTCGGTAGATAATAAACTTATACACGAAGAAGCCCCTTAATACCGTCTAAAATCCGGAGCTCCACGATACAACTACGGTAATATAATACTACCTTAAATGCGTCAAAGTAGCATCAAAATTTCGACTAGGGCGTTCCTACGGAGTATTCAAAGAGCATACCAACCTGCGCTACCCAGTGACGGAACGCCGGGTGTTTCGAAGGCTCATTATCAGCTTTATTAAAATTTAGGGCCGGCATAACTCGGCGACTTCCTTTGCTTGCGCGTGTCTACCACCGGCTGAACGAAATATTCGACGTTTCGCCCGGTAAAGAAATAATGAAAAAATAGCTTTGCCAAATTCCGGCAACTTATACAGCGACTGAGATATTTTAATAACGTGGCGATGCAACGCGCATCACACGGCGGGCGGACGGGATGCAAGGAACGGCGCGAACTTTTCCCGATATCAAGGCAAAGAAGTGGCGGTTCTAGTCGTTTTCGGTGTGTATAACAGCGAGATTCGCCGGTCGCTTATTCCGGTCTCCAACGATCGGCGATTCGCCAAGAGAGATCTCTCTTTTCCTTCCCCTCTTCCTCCCTCTCTCTCTCTCTCTCTTTCTCTCTCCCGCGGTCGCGACAGTTTGCGGGAAGAGACGGAGTCCACCGTTATAATTTCACGTTTCTTCTGGTAGTCAAAAAGATGAAGATGCATCCGGGGTTGGGTGTAATAATGCATCAATGTAGTAGCTGGCGCGGCGCTAAGAAAGAAGAGGCGAAACGAGCTTCCTTTGTGTTCTTTTTCCCGCTGTTCCTGCGTGGAACGTTTTCTGGCTTCGCGTAGGGAGAGAAAGAGAGAGAGAATGAGAAGGGGGGGAAGGAGGGGGAAGCCGTGCATTGTCGCGGCGATGAAAACGACAATGCGCGGAGGCGCCCCGCGTGCCTTGAGCCGAAATACAAGAATCTTCAGGAGACCACAACCGTTCCTTTCCCGTCATTTGTACTTCGCGCAGACCGCGTATTTCGCCGCAGCTCGAAGAACGAAAGCTTCCTCAGGACGGAAAACGCCCGCCTCGCTCACGTCCTTTCGATAGCAGCAGTGACGATTACAAAATTGCGAGTCAGCGTGATCCAAGTTTACGTGTAAACAGTCGTTCTTTGAAACTTACCTCATGCGAGACACTCGGGTCTGAATTTAATTATATTATCGTCTTGAAAGCTTGGAGAAAAATCCAGTTTTTTTTTTGTTTAAATCCTCCCGGATTTTTCAGTTTCTTTCCGCAAATGAATGACAAAAATTGGAAAAACTCCGAATTTTTCAAGATTTCCCTTGAATCTTTTCGGTTTCTTTCTGAGTAAAAAATGGAAAAAGTGGTTTTTTCAAACAACTTGCATTGACACACTTACGTGACAGGTTGCTATTTTTTTTTTAATTTTCTCTAAGACTAAGCTAAATTTGATAATAGGTGAAGAGTTTAAAAGGGGCTTTATACTTGGTGAAAAATTCTTATAAAAATGCACGCTGTAATGTGTATTATTATCTCATACAACATAGACATCCAAGGAATATCCTAATGACATTCCAAGAACATTTATAGGACATACACAGGACGTCCATCAGATAAAGTGTGCTGTGTGGGATAATTGTAAAGTTTCGGAAGAGATCCGTTTTTTCCCCATTTTTCTGCGGATATTTTTGGTTTTTATCTTCTTTACGGAAAAATGTAAATGTAGCAGGTTTTAAGCGAACACACGTGAATTTTTCTGAACGAATTTTTATACCCTTGAGATAGAAATCGAACAGATTCACGGAAAAATGGTGTAAAACGGTTTCCAAACTATAATGCCGATAGTCGTTACCTGAAACTTTATTTTGTACGTTTTAGCCGAACTAGATTGCACTTTTTGCCTTTAAAGTGAAACAAGTGTATAACCTAGTTGTGAAGGGAAAAGGAACGAAGTTCCTGGTGCAACACTAGTTCAGTTAAAACAAACAGACCTCTCAAGTGAGAAAACCAGAGTCGAATTTAGAATTAGATGTAAGTGGAATCGCGATCGCAAATATACGTGTGTCATGAGATTCGACGGAGAAACTCAGATCTAACTTTAAATATTCAGATCTGCGTATCTTGCGTGAAACAAAATTATTAATGACCCTCGAATAACAAAATTCATGCAGTCACACGTGTAACAAGATGGGTCGGATCCGACCGGTAAAAGTATTTTATAATTATTCAACTAATTTCCTCAACTAGGCACTTTTTATTTTCACAATAAGTAGAAAACGTTAAAAAATAAACAGAATATATCGCGAAATATGTAAAATATCTGAAATATAACGCTTCACTAGCACGTGCGCGGAATCATTAGAATATGGATCCGGTCGAATCCGACCCGACCTTGTTATTCGAGGGTTAATGTCTTATCAGAGTTAAATTTGGATGTTCATTTGAATGATGTAGTGTACGGTGACATCGCGTTTATAATCGCGATTGAACTGAGAAATTTACTTCTAAACGCAAAATTCAAATCTAAAATAGATCTCAACATTCAAGTATTTAAATTTGCGCTTCACTTGAGACAAGCTTCAAATAACGACTGTTAACACAGGTTTATGAATCTCCCTGTTGCTTTCCGAGCGCCGAAAAGATCGTCACTGGGCCAGGTTTGCATCAAATTAATTATGACAAAATTAGCGTTGAAGTTGCTTTTGCGGCGCAATCGAGGGACGCGCGATTCTGCGCATTACACGATGGAAACTTCTCGTTCATTCGCCGTGGCAACGAGCGAGAAGCTTGCCAACGACTACCACGACGACAACGACGACGACAATGTCGTTTTCGCCCGCGGGTTCGCGTCCTTTATTCATACGTCCCTGACTGGAGAGCTTATTCGTCCGCGAGAGCCAGTCGAAGCGGAGCGAAGCGGATGCACGTCTATGGGTTGGGAGGGTTGCTGCAAGGAAGCCAAATTTGCTTTTCCACGGCGCGTATCTACTCCAATTTGCAGCGCCTTGGAACGTAGCACTCCCGGAGAAAAAAAAGAAAAGAGACCGCCGCCGGCACTCCTATCCTTTTTTCACAAAAGCAACGGGAGGAAATTCGCGTCTGCATCCTTCGGCGTGTTTTATGCGCCGCTCGATCGAACGGTAGTCAGCCGGCGGTGGAGTCCAGTCATTAACCGGAGAATCGCTCACGACGACGAAAAGGAAGAGGTCGGCACTGACGAGGTACTGTTAACTGTCAGCTTTAGGTAGGTTTTCGTGACCGTCCAAAGGACCCGTAGAAGCCCGGAGGTGAAGAAAAGCGATATCGGTTTTCTTTGTCTTTTTTAAGAATGCGGTTGAGTCGCATTGAAAGCACATCACTTCTTGTTCGATTATTGCGTGGCGTCGCTCTTTATCTCTTAGTTATCCCGTATAAAAAAAACTTGAACCTATGATAAATATTAATTTTAGAAATTAAAGAAATTTAAAAAATAAAAGAAATATCCAGATTTAAGTAGTTATTAAGCGATTATTAGAAATGGATAAAAACTAAAGGCATCGATTTACACATCTGATATTAGATACTAGTGAAACTGCATTTCTCTGTGTTAACCTCATCCACGTTAATTTATCATCTACGTTACTTTACTTTATGTTAATTTAACGCAAAATTCCGGTGAGAGGTTATTAAACAGTGAAATTTTTCACATATTCCAGGTCCCATGCAGTTGGCGGCCTTTACTCTTACCTCGTCGGTGAGGTCGGTTTTACGTATACGACGGGTCGTCGAGGTATCTTAGCGCGATCGTTACCGCCGTTCATCTAGGAAACCGTCCGCTTTGGCTTTAAAAGGAGACTTTTTGTCCCCTTTTTGTGTAATATAAAACATACTTAATTTGTCTATGCGGACATGCAATGAAAAATTCTCGCTGTCGCACGTACGTGACGTCGGTGCCCGGTGAAAATCCGCGCGTCACACCTGTGCGACGAATGGCATGAAATGCCAATTAATTCCAATCACCGATTTTTCGATAATTACCGACATCTCCGTCGGTAAATATCACAAGATTGACCCTATGCGGCATGGAGGGATCGAGAGTCCCACTCTTTCCCGCTCAGTTCTTAATTATTATATATTATTTTAAAATTCTGACCTCCGAATTCGTAATCAGCGACCCGAAAAATTCCTGGTTACTAAGTTTCAAAAAGAATCAGTCCGATACAAAAGTTCGTAACACAAAGGGATAAGAAACGTAACGGAACTTACGTAAAAAGCACATGCACGATGTCGCCGATCACCCCGTTGTGTTGCAGCGGGAATTCCGAGGTCTCGCAGATCGCTCTCAGCAGGCATTCCCGTCCGGAGTAGCCGGTGCTGCGACGTGGAAGAAGGAACGTTGGAGGAAAAATCACGTGAAAGAGCGGAGATCGGGGGACGGTGGTTCGAGGACGAATCGCGCGGGCTCGTCGTTCCGACGTCGGTTTGTTCTTTCCGCGTTTTACGATTCTCTAAATACCCGGATCGAAGGCTCGCGCGCGCATACGTAATTCGTGTCTACGTACAATACCGGCGGCTACGGCAGAGCCGAGCCGGGCGACGTGTAACGCAATTCCCACGTGCCCCGAGTGCTCGTAAAACGGAGGAGCCGGCGGTGCATTTGCCTGGAAGCCTCGTTGATTTTTCCTTCTGTTCCGCGAGCGTCACGATAAAACTCCTGCCGAGTACGCCCTCACAGGCGCTGATACCCGCGATAATAGACCGCAGCGATCGATCCCGTCGTTGTTTATTTCACAAGGAAAAGTCTGGAAGTGTCACTCGCCGATTCTGACGACGCTCCGATATATTGTTGAACAGCTAAGAATAAGACACGTGTATTTATCTTTTAGGAGCGTTTCCTCCGGCGTTTAGGAGCTGGTAGAGTATCAACCCCTTGAAATTAATTCCACAACGCATATTCGCTCACGAGTGAATATCTTGGAAAATGCGAGGTATGTGAGAGAATGTCGGTAGACAAAATTGCTTTGGTATGAAACGTACTTTATAACTGTGAATTTAGATTTCGCAGAATTTTTTTTTTTATCAGCGTCTCCCCGGGCGTTCAGATGGATGGAGAGAACCAACCCCTCGAAGCTGGCCATAACATATATTTGATCACGAGCGAATATCTTGAAAAATGTGAGATATATGAGAAAATGTTGACAAAATTGCACGATATAAAATGTACTTTACAAGCATTTAAATTTCGCAATACTTTATGAGCGTTTTTTTCAGGTTTAAAAGACTAAAAGAGCCAACCCCTCGACACTAGTTCCATAACATATTTTTTATCACGAACGAATACCTTTGACAATGTGAGATATATGAGAAAATATCTTAGATAAAATTACATGGTATAAGATGTACTTTATAACTGTGAATTTAAATTTCGCAACATTTTTTTGTAAGCTTTTTCCCGGAGATTGGAAGATTGAAAGAATCAACTACTCGATATTAGTTCCATAACATATATTTGCTACGTCTAAATATTTTTGATAATGTGAGATATATAGGAAAATATTTTAAACTGTATGATATAAAATATACTTTATAACTGTGAATTTAGATTTTGCAACGTTTTGTTTATAAATGTTTTCCTGGTCATTTAGAGATTGAGAAAACTAATCTCACGGAGCTAGCACATAACACATATTTAAGCGCGAATATCTTTGAAAATGTGAAATATATGAGAAAATGCCAGAGAAAATTGCGTAATATAAGATATACTTTGTAACTATGAATTTACGAGGTGCCTTTGAAAAATAAGGGTCGATCGGACATTAAAAGGAGGCAAAGTATTGTTATCTGCCGATAGAAATTTTTTCAGTATCCTCCTCACAGTCCAGACCTCTCACCGAGTGATTTTCACATCTTCCTTTACCTAAAGAAGTAACTTGGTTCTCAACGATTCAAGGAGAGTGAAGAGTTTAAAGCGGCAGTGTGAATTGGCTGAGCATTTAAGCGGCGGAGTTTTATGCAGAGGATATAAAAAAAGCTTGTTCCCTGGTACCAAAAGTGCTTAGAGAGCAATAGTGACTACGTAGAAAAATAAAATAGGTATGTACAAATCGTGTGTGTATATAAGTAATAAAAGTTTTTTCTCTCACTTTGTCTTTTTTTAATGCTCGACCGGCCCTTACTTTCGACACACGCATCGTAAATTTCGTAATACTATTTTATGAATATTTTCCGGAAGTTTAGAAGGTTGAGAGAAGCAACCCCTCGACGCTAGCTCCGTAATACATATTTGATTACGAGCGAGTATCTTCGAAAATATGACATATATGAAGAAAATGTCAAACAAAGTTGATAGCGAATGATATACCTTATAATTATGAATTTAGGTTCCCCGTATAAATTTTTCATGTCTTTCGAAACCCCACATTCTATTACTACTTTGGCTAATTTGAAAATTATTTTACGGATGAAAACTGAAAGAAATTTCGTGCAAGTATCGTGCAACGTGTGAGAGAAGATTCCGCTTAACTAGCGAATGACAGAACCGTTCGAATTGTTCGATCACCTGAAAATTCCGAGCACCGTGCGAGCAATTTACGAGTAATTTGCCAATCGGTAAACTCGTCGGACAGGAGATGAAGAAAATGCGAAGACCCCGTGAAAGTATTATATCGGATCCCGTCGGTACAGGGGAAGCCACGTTAACTAACGTAAACGGCGATTATTTGTTCGCCAACTTACCTCTCGAATTTATTTTCCAGAACTCGATAGATCGCGGCTCTGTCGATACTTCGCCGCCTTCTCCTCCTTTTTCCTCCGACGTACCACGGCTCGAAGAACGTTATGTTCGCCGGTAAAACGTAGTTGGCCTCGAAGAAGTAAGACAGGGAGATCGAACTTAGCGGATCTTCGAGCGGCACCGCGAGAGCGACAAAGATCTGCGAGCGAAACGTTAATCGTTTGATTAGCGAACGACTTTATTTCCCCGCTAAAGACCGGGAAAGTTTCAACACAGATATATCAATAATTATAATCGTAATCATATTGTCGTTCTTATTATTATTATTATTATTATTATCATATATGGAAAAAAATTTAGTATCAATTTAAGACTCATATTCTCAGGAATATATGAACAAGAATATATAATCTTATGTGAAGATAAAACTTACTTACATGAAGAAATTTTATATAGTTTCATTAGAAATATATTTTTTATTCAAAACAAAGTTTCATGAGAAAGAGGGCAAAATATCAGGTAGAAAATAAATTCCTTCGGTATCTTTTGAGGAAGTGAATCACGGTCGTAACGCAACATACTTGAATTATTGCTTTTTCAATGTACGTACTCGAGTCGAAATTTTAAATTCTACGTTAAGTCTTCAAGTAGGAAAAACAGAAATATGTTTCCACTTGTAGCTTCGAAGAAGCACAATAGAAAACCTTCGAACACTTAATATAGAACTAAATTCGATTAAAGTAGGACTAAAATTTCGACTCGAGTTCGACTCACGCCCATATTACTGTTTTCCGGAAATGCCAGCTCCCTGATGGGCCGGTGCAGAATTTTTGCGATGTTCGAGTTTACCGTCTTCGACAGCACATCGTGGTACACCAACGTTGGGCCGAGTATAGAAAATCTATAAATTAATAAAGAGCGAGTAGAGAAGATGACCTAAAATGTAAAACAACGCGTTTAATATAAGCGACCGCACGTCAATCGACTCGAAAGTGGGTATAATTGAAGCAATTTGCTCGTTTTTGTAAATACATCCGGCGCACAGTAGGAAGGCACGTTTTTCGGACAAAAATCGGCCGTCGGTGTAATATTTAACCGATTTTTCAATGACTTGTTCTTCAATTTACTCGATACAAATTTTTCTAGAACGCAGGCCTACAAAGTTTGTAAGATAAAGCTTAAATTCAAAATGGCGGATATGGATGGTGACACGGTTGTCAAAAATATCGAAATTCCGCGATATTGAATACATTTGCACCTCAAAATAAGTATATACAGATTTTTCGGGTCGCTGAATACGAATCTGAAGTCTTCAAAACTCAAAATGAGAGATTCGACGTGACAGTCGAAAATATCGAAATTTAATACTGCAATTATTTCTGTATTTTTGGTTGCCATATCTGATCTGCCGTTGGAAATGTTAAAGATTCGACCTCAGATTTGTATTCAGCCACCCCAAAAATCTGTGTGCTTGTACTTCTTTAAATGCAGATATATTCAATATTGTGGAATTTTTATCTTTTTGACATGGTGCCGTATCCACTATTTTGAATTTCAGCTTTATTATAAAAAATTTGCAAGTCTACGTTGTAGGAAAATTAACGAAATAAAAAAAGAGAATTGTTGAGATTAGTTAAATCTTATATATAAAGAGAAAAAGATTTCTTTAGATTCCTTTAAATTTCTTCAATTGAGATCAATTTATTTGTGTGTGTCTTCCGGAATGGAGCAAAGAAATGTTTGATTCAACGAATAGGATTATTCAATTTCTTATACAATAAATACTTTTACGTTAAATAACATGTTTCCTTTATATGTTCATGCAAACATTACAATGGTCCATCACAAGCAAGAAATTATTTTGAAGGAAGTAACACTGTTAGAAAAATATTAACAAACTTGTTTTTGTTTCAGCGGAACAATATTTAATATATATTAGAATCCATTCTTTCATTTAAAACCAAATATTCTCTCTAAATAATATTGTGCACTAAATCCGAGAAAACCTTTTTCTCTATGTATCAGCGGTTGATTTCTCTCCGAAAAGAATGCCTTTCCAGTAAGCAAGAAACCACTAACGCAACATTACCACAATGATATTTTATAACAAGTAACGTTTTTTAAATGCATAGTTTTCATTATTGCACACAACGTCATTGTTAACAATATTTAGCCCAAACGTTAAAAACAATATTTCTACATTATGATCTTAATATTGAGGAATATCGCATTATCAGGTAACGGTTTCAAACGATTTATAAGATATTATGTCAAAACGTTGACAAATGTTTACGAAACTCACGTAAAATCAATGTTTCGAAAAATTGTTAGAACGTTTCTTGCTTACTGGGTTCCCTCTCACCGTGCGGCACGACGACGAGGTCCATGCGGGAAATGGCGAGTCCTCGCGAGCTTACAGGATCTTTCCTAACCGGCAAGACATGGCGGCGACTCACATTTGCTCGGGAACCGCTTCGATCGGCAAGCCGCGGAACTTTGCGCCGATCGAGAGAGAACGGAAGGAGTCGTTCTCTCGCGACCTTTCTGAACCGGTCGACGCCCGCTACTCCGTACGGGTAACGAACGTTAATATTACGCACATACGGAGACGTTCTCGCGATAATTACTCCGGCGTCTTTGCGAACGGATTATCGGACCGTCGAAAATCGTCGCGATTGTCTGTAAACGCGACGCAACGGATTCTCGGGTTCGCGAAACCGCGAATCGACGGAACGGCGAGAGACCCTCGTTGGCGGGTCTTCGCGTCGTTCGCGTGGCGAAAAGCGATCATTTTAATCTCCTTGCTCGAGCAATACAGACAATTTTAAGGCTAATCGGATATTTCACAGTTCCACTCTTACATTAAATTTTCATGCGTTTGAAATGCTAATTAGGGCTTTTAATATCTCTTTTTATACATATTCCGTCTCTCTCTCTCATACATTATACATATGGCAGGGATGGCGGTTGAATGTATTTTGCAAAATTGCAAAGCAGCGATATACTAAAATCTCATACTCGTGGATTACCTCTCTCTCTCTCTCTCTCTCTTTCTCGTACAACGCTCGTACTATTCCACGGTGTATTATACATTCAATATTCCATAGCACACGTGATACAGTCAGATATAAAAAGAATGTGCAATATTAAAATATATATGATCCAACAACGGACGGATACGCGACGTCTCCCGCTTGGAAGAAAGAGAGAGAGAGAGAGAGAGAGAGAGAGAGAGCACGACAGAAAGGTGGGAGAGAAGCGCACGTTAGCGTGGAAAGTGTAACCGCGAGAGGTGCGTGCCCGTCGATGTATCTCACGCGTTATCTATCATTTCCTTATCTCATCGCTAACAAACCTCCGAGGGGGATTTGTTGGGAAAAAGAAAGGGAATAAATCACCGGCGCTGAATAGCGCATACGCGAAGCTTATCGGCGTTATCGTCTTCCGCGGTAAATATTAGCCCGGCGTCTCTGCGCGCCGAAGAAATATCCCGCGAGTTCTCGCGCCGGGCGTTTAATTAAATTTGCATAGGTGCTACTCAGGTTCGGCCACGCGGCGCTACATACTGCCGGGACTCCCGGTTACGCGCTGAAATGCAATTATAATCTTCCCCACAATGCGTCAGACTCTTCATGCGGCGGTAACGGCAGCGACGGTGGCGGTGAAAAAAATTCGAGAGCGACTTCGCGTAAGGGTTGATTCACACTAGACCCGTCCAGACCGCCGGCGTCCGTCGGCCTTCCGTCAAGACATTCTTCGATGCTTTCGGAATACCCGAATCGAAACCTCGGCCCTGTGTGGAAACCTTTAATTCTATAAGCGGCAAGTAGGAGTTAGGATAACAAAATAGGTTTAATTTCAATTCTAACGATTGAATTTCCTTCCATATCGGAAAAATGCTAGAATCAAATTAACGTAATTACGTGTTTTCCCGAGTCTTGAATCGAGTCGTTTTTGTATCAGTGTGGATCGACCCTTAGCGCGGACCGTCGCGGCGCAAAGGTGCGGCAGCGTTGCCGCGGCTTAACTGCGCGTGTGTAAATGAGCTCATTTTCCCCGTTCTCTAACCCGTGGATTATTCTGGTTTTTAATTCGCTCTCTCTCTCTCTCTCTCTTTCTCATAAGCATGACGACGGCGGCGGCGTCGCTCGCTACAGTCTGGATTACTCGACGAGCGATCTTCCCTGCGCGCTCGTTTCTCACGTTTTCTTCGGGAGAGAACGAAGTAAGATTCTCTCCCGCATCCCTCGGACTCGCGTTACGTTCAAGCGATCCTCTTCACTCCCTTCGCCCTTCCCCATCCACTAACGGCAGCCCTCCCCGGCGTTTCCAGCGGCGACGACCGAATAGCTGTTTACCGCAGATGTTTTTCCCCCTTTTTACGAGGTGAACTCTCGCAGCGTCGGGGCTTCTTTCCCATTTTCGCCCGGAAGGAAGTCCCGTCGGTGGCGCGACGGGTGGTTTAGGTGTCCCGTGGAAGTCAATAGAAACGTGCTGTTGCGCTGCTAATGCCCGACGGGTCAGTCGATGCCCCGTTCGCTCGCTCACACACACACGCTCCCTTATAGAAACACACACACACAGACAGAAGCATTGTCGTCGCGCGCTTCTTTTACGATCCCGGTAACACTGCACGCGCATTCGGTGTCGTTGTCACCGCCGAACGAGATCGGTTCCTTTTTTTTACGAGCCGGGAGATTCGGCGGAGGAAGTTGATTTGCCAGCTAGAATTGCGAACGGATAGGCGAGGGAGAAGCAGAGAAAGAAAGAGAGAGAGAGAGAGAGAGCAGCGGCGCTTCGGAGAAACAAGACGGTCAAATAGCAATTAAATCGATTAATCAAAATTCGCTGTGATGAATTAATTAATTCGACGTGACAGGCAATAAGTTCGTCCGACTTACCTTTCATTTCTAAAAAAAGAATCTAGAGTTGGGAGGTAACGTGTTATTTGTAACGCCATTATCGTTACAAATTATTTTTCTTCGGTAACGACTTGGTTACGAAGTTATGTTTTTTCATTAGTAATGGTAACGGTAACGCAATTACAGTTTTTGGGTAATTGCAACGAATACAATCGTCACTTTTATCGTTACTTTGTAGATGTACAATGTATATATAGATCGTCCGAAATCCAACGTATGTCTTTAACACCGCAGATTTTTTCAGATGTCCCTAAGACGAAAATTTAAAAAATGTCGAGGCATCAATAGTTTCCGAGATACGAGCGATCGAAAAAGCGGGGCTTTTCGCAAACTAAATTACGAACGACCGAGTGGATAACAAAATTATTTTTTTTCGATCAATTTCAAGTCGACTTCACTTTTACAGAAATTTACTTTAGGCTTTAATTGCACAGAAAAAATAATCTTATATCAAAAATAAATTTTCTCATATATAAACAAGAATATTACAATCTTCCTGGAAGAGTTTTAGCCTTGAATTGATTTTAAGTGATATTTGCATCAATACGAATTCAATCAAATCGGGATTAAAAATCTTCTAGAAAAATTATAATATCCTGCTAATATGCTAAACCCTTATTAATATACGAGAATATTTATTCTTGATTTAAACGAATTTTCTTGTGTACAAAGGTACGTTATGTTAAAAACTGAAATGTCCCTATGAATAAGGATCTCTCTCGACATAGTCAGTCATGTTAAGAACATACGTTGATTCTGGGACACCATGTATACAAGAAGGACGCAGCGAATCCTAAAAGGCAGATCTTTAGAAAATCCTTTCAGAAATTTTCCGAAAATTGGATGAAAAAGAAATAA